AGTAGTGCCTGTGTTAGTTGGGCCAGAAAAGCTGAATGCAGAACCTGCAGCTGTAGATGTTGTCCCAAATCCTCCAAACCTACCTGTGGGTGCTGCGGTGGCTGCAGCGGTGCCTGAGGTACCCGAAGGTGTCCCAAAATTTCGTTCCATATACATTTTTAGGATTATATTCTCTAGCTTTGTGAGGAATGCTTTTGGTATTTTGATTGAGATTGCCTTGTATCTGTGTTTCAATTTTGAAAGTATGGTCATTTTGACAACATTGGTTCTGTCTGTCTAGGAATAGGGATGGAATAGATAGATGTCTTTCCATTTTCTAATGTCTTCTTTGAGTTTCTTCATTGTATTGCAGTTTTTTTTTCTTTTATTTTAGAGAGAAAAAATTTTGAAATATGATAATAGGATAGTAATAATACATAATAAAAATACATTGCATATTATTATCTTGTACTCAGAATACAAGATATAGGCATGAAATATTGTCAAAACTATATTAGCACATTTTCAATGAACGAAGAGAAGCTAGTAATATAACTATCTTGACTATATTGTATGTATTTTTTTTTCCTTCCTTTTTCCATCCCCCTGTCAGTTTCTCTTTCCTTTTGAATAGTTTCTTCCCATTTCATAATATTTGTTGTACATTTTGGATTTTATTTACTCATTCAGCTTCTCACACTAGGGAGACAATATGATGTTTATATATATGAATCTGATTTATTTCACTTAGAAGTATGACCTCACGCTGCATAAATTTACCTATGAAAGTCTAAAGTTTATCCTTCATTATGGCTGAGTGTGTATTGTGGTTTTCATTGTAGAGGTCTTTCACTTCCTTGCATAGGTTAATTCCTAAATATTTTACTTGCTGCTGTTGTGTGTGGTATTTTCCTAATTTCTTTCTCAGTAGGGTTCATTATAGATGTTTGACAGTTACTGATTTTTGTGTGTTGATTTGTATTCTATTATAGTAGTGAATTTAATTATTTTAGGAGTCTTTTGATGGACATTTTTGAGTTTTCTATGTAGAGGAGCATGTCAAATAAATGAGAGATGTGTGTTTTTTCTGTTTAACGGAGGGTCTTGCTCTGTAAAGCAAGCTGGTCTTAAACTCACTAAGTAGCCCATGCTGGCACAAACTCATGGTGATCCTCCTGACTCATTCTCTTCCAAGTGGAATTACAGGCATGTGACATTATATCCTGCTAAATAATAATTTGATACCTTCCTTTCCTATACATATCCCTTTTATTTCTTTTGTTTGCCTGATTGCTTTGGCTATTTTGAGTATGATATTGTACTAATAGTAATTTTTATCATGAATGGATGTTAGATTTTGTCAAAGAATTTTTCTGGATTTGTTGAGAGATGATCATATTTTTTATGTCCTCTCTTCTTATGTAATGCATTTCACTTATATATATTGGATCTCTGGGAGCCCTAGAATAAAGACTGCTTGCTTATGATGATTCGCCTTTTTGTTGATTTATTGCGTTCTCTTTGCCAATGTTGTGTCTTGTTGAGGATTTGTATGTGAATATTCGTTAAAGAAATTAGTCAGTAGTTCTCTTTATTGCTTGGGTCCATGTTTCATTTTGGAATCAGTTTAATGCTCACTTCCAGGAATGATTTTGGATGTACTATTTCCCTTTAAAGTTCATTAAAGAGCTTAGTGTTATGGGCCTTAGACCTTCCCTGATGTTTTTATGAAATTCAGTGGTAAATCCATCAGTTGTTGGAGCTTTCTTAGTTGGTAGGTTTTTAAATTTTTTTTAAAAAAACGTTTATTGTTGGCTTCAGTTTCATTGCCTGTTATTGAATTACTGATTGTTTTTAATATATTCTTGGTTCAGTTTTGATAATTCTTATGTATTTTGTAATTTGCCCATTTTGTCTAGATTCTCCAATGTATTGGAGTACAGGTCTTCAAAGTAGTTAATCTGGATTTTGGCAGTGCCTGTTGTGATTTTGTCTTTTTCATGTTTTTTTTTTTTTTTTTTCACGGAACTGGGGATTGAACTCGGGCCCTACCGCTTGCCAGGCAAGCACTTATTCTACTGAGCCATCTCCCCGGCCATTTCATTTTTAATTGAGTTGACTTAAGTCTTTTCTTCTTTTTCTACTAGATTGGACTCATAGTGATTCTCCTGTTTACAGCCTCCCAAGTGCTGGGATTATAGGTGTGTGCCACCATGCCCAGTCTCAATGGCCATATCAGTGTGCCCTGGGGGCGGGGCCGGCACTTCAGGCCTGGGGATCGAAACCCCGGCCCATGTGCCTGCTTGCAGGTGCTTTAATCCACTGAGCTATTTGGCTGGCCCAACAGTGGCATTAACCCCATCGGAATGTCTGTGTCAGTCATTGTTCACTAGAGAAACATTTAATATGCTATATAATATTTAATGTAAGATTTATTGATTTATAAGGTAGGCTTACTGTGGCTGCCTAGGTATGGAAGATTGCCAAAGGGCTATCTGCATGCTGAAGATATGAAGAATCCAGTCAAATGTTGAAGGCCTCGAGCTCACGATAGAGTTCTGTGCAGATCCATGTCAGGAAACTGAGGAGTCTGTTATGGAAGGCCAGAAGGTCTGTGCTGGTAGCCAGGAGACATACTCCAAGGCAAAGGTGAAGACTTGAGCTCCTCCAGAGAAATAGAAGCAAGGCTTCCTTCTCTTTTTATCCACTCAAGTGGGAAACCTATTGGTGCCACTCATGCCCAGGGTGGGTCTTCTGGCTTCATTCCATTCAGCCATACCTAGAAGTATGCTCAGCCAGTTGGGCATTTTTTACTCCAATTGACTGTCATAAGGACAGAGCCCTCATAGCTTGATGCCCTCTTAAAAGTCTAACCTCTTAATGCTGTTTCCATGACAATTAAATTTCAGCATGAGTTTTAGAGGGACAGGCATTCAGATCATAGCATGTTGCTATAACAAGACAGTGTGACTTGAACAACGCATCTCTCACAGTTCTGGAGGCTGAAGAGCCATGGTCAAAGCGCCAGCACATCTGGTTCTTGGGGAGTGCTCTCTTCCTTACTTAAAGAAGGCTACTTCTCATCTATATCTTCACATGGTGGTGGGAAAGCTATCTCTCTCCCTTTCTTTCTTTTTTTTTTTAAGATCACTAATCTATAATGAAGACTCTACCCCATGACCTCATCTAACTCTTCTTCTAAAAGACTCATCTCCAAATCCCATTGTAGTGGAGCTTAGGGCTTCGCCATAAGTATTTTCAACTATAAACATGTTCAGCACATAGTAGAGTTTCCTGGCCAACAAGCATGAATACCTTGGGAAAGGCTGACATAATGATGAGTAACTTAAAATTTGGTAGTGTACTGGGGTTTTCCCTAAAAGGTGAGACTTTTTAGGGAAGTACACATCCCCCTGCCCCCATAAGTTGACTCAAGTCAGGCCAAGATCCTGTGCCTCTTTTTCTCTTTGTTTCATGGCTCAGCCAATCAATCTGTTAGAGGCTATTCTAAATTCTCTGAGTGGGAATTTTAAAATATAGAATTTCTGCTTTCTTAGCCCTTGTCAACAGCCTGATTCCATTTCCCTTTATCCTATGTCTTTAATATCTGTTCATGTCTGCATTGCTTGGATTTTTGTCTATATAAATGAGAAATGCACAAGGTCCTATTGGAGTGTAGTGAGTCTCCATGTGTGTCACACTCCATACCTCACATTTAGGAGCAGCTTGGACTTGAGTTCCATTGTAGGTCTCGAAGCATGGAGGAATGTGGGTCTTAAGAAAAATGGGAATTATCTTACCTGGCACCTGCTTCAGGGTGTCTGTTCCCATTTTTTTAGGTCATGAAGGCTTCATCCCCTTGGACAGAGGAGGCTGTGTCCACTGTGGGTGAATATGCTGCTTCCACTGGTGTATTACTGGATTTCAGATTAAGATTTTCTACTCTAGATCCTGGACAAACATGGGTTTTAAATGTGGAAATGCCACAATCAGATTTGCTTTGAAATTTCTCTAGCTACATTGTATTTCTGAGGCACAGATAAAGGGTTTCAGGGAGCTGCCTGTTGTCCCTCTGATGAAAACCCCTGCACTTGATATTGAGGCAGAGCAGCACTTTTCATGAGCTACATGCTGAGCACACATGGAGCTGGCCATGATGTTAATAAGGTTGCTCTCTGTATGGTGCAGCTGCTCTTCAGATTAAGGCAAATGCTGTGTCTTTCTCATGTGGTTAATGCCAGAGTGATTCTAGCGTTCTATCTGCCCATCTTCAAGACTTATTTTTTTAATCGTGAGTCATTAGGAACAGTAGCAATAACTGTTATTATGTTCCACTTAATGAAATATGTGTGTGTCAGGTAAGATAATGCGCATTTCTCATAGGACCCACATCCCTCCATGCTTCAAGACCTACAACAGGACTCAAGTCCCAGCTGCTCCTAACTGTGAGGTATGGAGTGTTCCACATTTAGTTTTAGAATGTTACTTTTTTCTCCTTGATCTATAATAACCCCATCACGTTTGTTAATATTTATCTTTAAGAGAAAAAGCCATACACTTAGTAATAAGGGGGAGGTGTGTTGTTACTTTTTCTTTGTTTAATATGAAATGTGGAGCAGGAGTGGCAAGATAGCTCCGTGCTCTAAATGCCTGCTTAGCCAAGCGCAGGGACCAGAGTTTGATCCCAGGCACCACATGCTGCACTGGCCCTGCACATAGGCGCACTGAGCCAACTACTGAGACTAGGCATGTTGTTACATACCTGTAATCCCAGCACTGGGGAGGCTGAAAACAGGAGGATAACTATGAGTCAGAGCTGCATAGTAAGAACATATACCAAATATATTAAAAAAGAAAAAAAGAAAGAAAAATGTGGAACAAAATTTTTTATATTTAAGGTCTGAAACCTTTACAGAGTTGTGGAGGTAACTTCATCTAGGTGTAGGGAATATGATAGTGTGTACTTTTATTTCTCAGTTAAATTGACAACTTTTTTCTCTTTTAAATGTTTAATGTTACAGAAGCCAAGGCTGCCCCAAGAGATTGTTTCATTGAAGTGAATTCTAAAGGCGACAGATTTGGCAATTGTGGTTTCTCTGGCAATGAATACAAGAAATGTGCCACTGGGTAAGTGGAGGTGAGGTCAGAACATCGTGGAAGATTATAAGATCAGTCATCTTGAAGGCTTTTTGTGACTGCTTGCTTTTTATTCCTGTAATTACCTACCTTTTCTTTTCTTTTTTTTTGTGGAACCAGGGATTGAACTCAGGCCCTTGCGCTTGCCAGGGAAGCACTTATTCCATTAAGCCATCTCCCCGGCCCCTTTTACCTACCTTTTCAAACTTAGTCTTAAACACAAGTTTAAGAACAAAACCAGCAAAATGTGTTGTTTCAGTAATCATCAACTTTCTCAAATTTAGGGAGTTTTAGAATGTTACTATTTTTCTCCTTGATCTATAATAACCCTAACTAAATATTCTTTTCATTTTCCTTTCAATAAAATATGTTATTAAGTCCCAAGGTAAAGATACTTGAATTAATTCTGGACTTCGTTGTTTTGTCTGAGTCTGTATAACTTAGAAATGATGAATTAAAACTTTTTTTTATTTCTATAAGATTTCCTTATTCTTAAGACTATAATACTAAAAATTATTTATGAGGAAAAAGTCACCCATTATCTCAGTCTGTATGTAGTCAAAGATTTCAGTGTATCTGTTCCTTTTTCTGTGCACTATACATACTTGTGCTGACATTTTACATAATTGGAATTATTCTGTAAGATTGTGTATTGGTTCTTTTGGCTCCACCTCCTAAGCTACGAGTTAGGCTAAGCAACTCATAGTGAGACAGTGTTTGCAAAGAAATAGCAGCAGTAACTTCCAGGTCATAAAGTCCAGCAGGCACTTTAAAATCTGTGCTGTTTGGCCTTTTAGTGTCAATCAAAAATGTTGACTGTCTTCTCTTTGAAGCTGCTACTTTCCTTTGTGTGGAATACACTTTACAATCTTTTCCTCACACAACTGTCTGTCCTTTTGTACATGCCACCTCTGTGCAGTATGTTAGCCTTTCCAGCCTACATGCGTCTTTCAGCCACAGCCTCTGCAGGTGCTATTGTTTCTCAGCCTGGTTAATTCTGTTCATCTTCTAGATCGTTGTTAATGTGTGGCTTCTCTAAGGGTCAGAGATCTCTCTTGCAAGTGTTCTTAATGTTGTGTGCCACTTTTTCATAGAATTTTATATGTTATATTTTATTATTCATTTTCTAATGTAATACAATATTCTATGTTGGATATTTCTAATATACAGTATTCTATTTTATGTTCTGATTAGTCACTTGACTCATGAACTATTAAAAATGTATTGCATATTTCCCAAATAGTTGGGAATATTCTGATCATATATTTGATTTTGTTTTCTAGTTTAATACCATTGAGAACATACTATGTGTGATTTTAGCTTTTTGGAATTTGAGATATATATAATTACCCAGTGTAAGGCTTTTCTGTGTGAATGTTCAACATGCAGTTGAAAACAAACTACATCCTGCAGTAGTTGGATGTGCTGTTCTGTGTATCAAATTAATTATCACATTCATCTTTGGGAGAGGTCTGTTTTATCTGCTCCTTCTACTTCTGAGAGAGATATATTAGACTCTTCAGTTATGATTGTGACTTTGCTGGCTTTTTATTTCTCTATGTATTCTTGATGAATTTACCTTTTTATTATTACCAAATTTTCCTTATCATCTCTGGAAAATTGTTCTGTATGCCTTATCAGTTTTATTTTGTTATGTGACTTATCACCTTTCTTAAGTGAACTATGAAGTCCAGTGATACATTTAGTTTTTTATGTGTAGCATGATTTCTGGAACATTGTGTTTAAGTGTTTGTGAATTGAGTAAATGAAGGTACAGAAAGTTGAGTGAAAAACGAATGGGTGGAAAATTAGTATAATTGTTGGAATTATAAAGCTAAAGTTAAAGGGTAAGTGGGCTAATGCAGATTTGAAGGGACCTTTGTAGGCAGGACATACCTTTGTTTTTAGTGTTATTTTACTTTTTAGTTTCATGACTAGGTTGTTAAAAATACTGACGTTATATGATATAACTTCTAAATCACTGGGTACATCATCTGAGAAATATTTTATAATAGCAATGTGAAAATAATATTTTATAACAGTAATATAAGGTTTATAAGGATAATAATGTAAAGATAATGAAAGAAAATATTTTACAATAGTATAAGGATAATATTTGACAAATGCAATGATAATATAGTAGTATAAAAATAATATAAGGTTAAGAATAGTATTTGAACACCATGGGTTAGAAGTTTAGTTTAACATTTAACCTAGTGGTCAAATTACTTCTTCCCATCTCTTAGGTAAAGTGGGGAAAATAGTAACACCTATTTCCAAGTGTTTTGAGGTTAAAGAAGTTGATGAATGTTAGTATTAAGCATATAGTACCTGTGTCAGGGGTGGTGCACATCTATAATTCCAGCACTTGGGAAGCTGAGGTAGGAGGATCACTGTGATTTCAAGGACAACCTTAGACTACATAGTGAGTTCAAGGCCAGCTTGGACTATGTAGTGGAACCTTATCTAAAAAAAAAATAGTGCCTGCTTCAGTGTAATCTTATCATCATCACTGTCACCACTGTCTTTATCAGCCTTATCATAGAAAATGTATAATATGTAGGAAAAGTCTAAAGAAATCATATATGGTTCTACCTTTCAGAGATACTTTCTTAATATTTGTTATATTTCCTTTTTGCTGAATTTTGAGGTGTTCTCAAGGAATTTTTGTTGTTCCTGTACAAGGTACTTGGTTCCTTTTTTTTTTTTTTTTGTGCAGGGTCTCACTATACAGCTTGAATTCATAGTGATGCTTCTGTTTTCAGCCTTCCAAGCACTAGGATTATAATTGCGCACCACCATGTCTGGACTTGGTTGTGGGCTCAGCACACCTGGGGACAGGGCTGGCACGGCATGTGGTGCCAGGGATTGAACCCCGGCTCCTATGCTTACCTAAGCAGGCACTTAGTCCACTGAGGTATCTTGCCAGCCTTCCTGGCTCCTTTTGAATGGTATTGATTTTCTTTAGCAGCTACACTTCTTTTTACCAATATTAAAATTTTTAAATTTTTCTGTTCTGTCTTTTGACCACAATTCTCATGATAAATCTGGCCAAAAGGATCCAGCTAAAAACAAAGGTATGTTCTGCCTAAAAAAGTCCCTTCAAGTCTACGTTTAGCCCACTTATCCTTTAATTTTAGCTCTATAATTCCAACAGTTATACTAATTTTCCACCCATTCGTTTTTCACTCAATATTCTGTACCATCATTTACTCATCCCACAAACACTTAATAAAAGCAATGTTCCCATGCCACAGCCTAAATATTAGGGCATCTTGAAATTTCCCTGGTCATATAAATGAGTCCACTTGCCTTAATCTCAGTCTCCTCAAAGTCTCAGGACAAGGGCAAAATAAAAACAGATTTTCTGCCAGAGTGTAACACACATGAATCCAACTATAAGTGTAGCCTTTTTTTTCCAGTGGAAACTTCCTGAGCCTGGCCTTTGTTGTCCACATTCTGATCAGCATTGTGGTCTTCTGAGCTTCAACCAAAGTCTTCTATCAAACTCTGTTTATAACTTTGTAGGACTTATCTGACATACTACATGTCCCAAACTTTCTGAACTGTTTCTACAAACGAGTTCCAAAGGCTCCCAAGACACATGATCAGGAATACTTCATAGTTTTCTGTAATAGTTTTTTAGTTATTGAGACATAATACTTGGTAACACATATATTAAAAGAAGAGGACTTATTTGGTTCATAATTTGGGTGATTCAATTTACAATCTGCTGACTTTAAGGCAAAAACATTATGGTGGAAGGGTGTGGTGGAGGAAAGCTGCTCAGTTCATGGCAGCTGTGAAGCAGAAAGAGATGCCGGTAGTGACACACCTCTTCCAACCAAACACTTCCTCTTAACAGTACCTTGAGCTATGAACTCATAAGTCAATCTTCTGATGAGTGTCATACCTCCATGATCCAATCACCTTCCAAAAGCCTCACCTCTAAACACATGAGATTTTGGGGGGACATTATAGATTTATTTATTTGTAGAACTGGGGATTCAACTCAGGCCCTCGCGTTTGCCAGGAAAGTGCTTATTCTACAGAGCTATCTTCCTGGCCCCACCATTGTAGATTTAAACCATAACAAAAGTGCCATAAAAAAGACATTTATCTTTAATGACCTTTGTCATAGGCATTGTGGTCAGGGAAGCCTTCATAGAGTTCTAATACCAAATTAGTGAATTAATGAGTTAGTGCATTAAGTCTATAGTTAGTAACTAAGAGCTAGCCTGGCAAAGACGGGCAGAATCCTCTCATTTATATTACAGAATATAATATCCTTACTGTAACTCTTTAAGAAGCCATAATTGAATTTTGATATTGCTTCAGGTGGCAGAAAGACAAACTGGAATGTGTGTGTATGTTCTAATGCTGGGGATTGAACCCAGGACTTTGAACATGCTAGACAAGTGTCTTATCCCTGAGATGTATCCCTAGCCTTTAGAACGTGCTTAGAAGGGAGCTTTCCTGATTGAGGAAAATGATTATGTTTGATATTGCTATGTTTCCTGTGTGGTAACATTTATAAAATTGTATTTGTAAAAAATTTTAGTAGACGATTTTGAGCTCTAGGTAGATAGTGAGAAGGGCTTAGGAGTGGGCGAAGAAGGAGCATCAACATTAGCTGGTACCCTAATAATTTACATCCTCTTCTTTTTGTTACTATAAAGAGAGCATTTTTGACCTCTATTGCTCTTACACACTTTTTAAAGATTCCTCTAGGCAACTAGAAGCAGACTTCTTTTTATATTTGCAATGTAAAGTGTAATTTTTCTTTTTTTATATACACTAGATTTACTTTATATTTGTATTATTTATTTCATTTTACAGGAATGCTTTGTGTGGAAAGCTCCAGTGTGAGAATGTGCAAGAAATGCCTGTATTTGGAATTGTGCCTGCTATTATTCAGACACCTAGTCGAGGTACCAAGTGTTGGGGTGTGGATTTCCAGCTAGGATCAGATGTTCCAGATCCAGGAATGGTGAATGAAGGCACAAAATGTGATGTTGGAAAGGTAATCAAAATGTTTCCTACTTAGTAAAATGAAAAAAAAAAATCATTAAATAAAGTCAGTGGCCACTCTCTTCTAGTTAAAAGAGAAATTATGTTTATTATAAACATTTTAGAAAATACAAAACCACCAAGAAGACAATGAAGAACAACTATAATTTTACTGTATTGCTTCCATTGGGGTCATAACTTTTCCATTTTGTAATATTCTGGGCATATTTCTTCCCTCTACTTAAACTTAGTAGCCAGGTTGCTATTATTGAGACACTTAGGATTTCCAGGATTTTGAATGTGTGTCTGTATGTGGCTCTGTACGAGAAATGTCACTCTTTCTGCCCTGTCCCTACTCCTTGCTATGTTAACCATAGCTGTTTGATGTGGCTCAGATATGAGCATAGTTAGCCAGGCATGATTTACTACCAATGATTCCATATGAGAAAAGAACCTAGGTGAAGCTCCTTTTAGGGTAAATACAGTTAATATAATTAAGAAAGTTAATGAATTAAATACTTTAAAAGGCTGGGGCAAGTTTAAGCCACATATAAGATATATTAGGCAGCAGAATGGAAAAGTTAAAGACAACAGTTTACACAGAAGATTATAGAGTGAAGAAAAGAGGGGAGGAGCCTGAGAGAACAGAACTTCAGTAGCCTGTTGAAGATGAGCGGACTCTCAAAGTCATCTCAGTATCTATCTACTGAGTCTGTATCTGCTTCTGTTCCTCACTACTTATAAAATACCATATATTTTTGGATCTGTCTTTGCAGATAAATTTAGCTCTTGTAGCTGCTATACACAATGCTGAGACATGCTATATAAATAAAAAAATTCAGGGACCGGTAGATGGCTCAGTAGAATAAGTTCTTCCCTGGCAAGAGAAGGGTCTGAGTTCAGTCCCTGATTCCGCAAAAAAAAAAAAAAAAAAATAAATAAATAAATAAATAAAAATCAGGACTTTAATTGCTTTCTGAGCTTACTATAATAGTGTATATACTTTTAAGGTTTGCAGACAATTTTATCAGATGCCTCTTTAGAAAGGTTTTGTTTTCCTTCCAACATTTATGTTAATTTTCTTTCTGATATTTACTATTTGGGCTTAATTTTTTATTTAATTGTATAAAGTATTTAAATGTATGAAGTGTTTTAAATTTTCCACAGCACAGTTAAAATTTGCAGTCATTTTAAAACTCTTAATGGTGATTTTTAAAATTTTATTTCTTTATTAGAGATATTGAACTTTTTTGCCTATATAAACTCATTTCTTTTTTGTGATTAACTTTGTGATGTTTTTGTTGATTTAAAAATTGGCTATGTTATTAAAGAATTTTATGCCATATGTCACACACACACACACACACACACACACACACACACACACAGTTTGTCCAGTTTTTTGCTTGCCTCTTTTTTTGTTTCAGTACTTTTTGCCATATTTGTACTTTTATGCACTCAGTTCTATTATTCTTTTATTTTATGGTTTTCTCTTTTATGTATTTTGCGAGACTTACCTCAGAATAATAGGAGATAGTTATTTTTAATCTTGTCCATTGACATGTCTGACTGCTCATGTGTCAGTTCTGCTTTGGTTTTAGTTTGGATGATTTTATAATATATTTTTAATATCCAGTGATACAAATGCCCCCATATTCTTTTTTCATAGCTTTCTTGGCTATTTTCATTTATTTATCATTTCAGATGAACTTGAGATCATTTTGTCAAGGTGCAAAAAAATTTTAAAAGGCGCTTTGGAATTTTGGTTGGGATGACATTAAATTTACACATTTATTATGGGGAAAAGTGACATCTTTACATTATTGAGTCTCCCATAGAAGATCATGGTATGTGTCTCCATTTTTTGGGGTCTTCTTTTAAAAGTGCAGTTATAAAGCTCCATTTTAATTTTTGATTAGTTTTAAGTTTTACTTATGTTATGAATAGGCAATCCTATTATTTTTCTTATTTGTTAGTGTTTTCTACTTTTTTATTTGTAAGAAAGCTGTTTTGTTTATATTTCTAACTGGTTATTGTTGGTATTTTTAAAAGATTATTTGTGTATATATACTTCATTACTAGCAATAGATTTAGTTTGATATTTTTGTGTTGATTATAGACTTTTCAGATAAACAGTCATCCTCTATAAATGGGAAGAGTTAATTTCCTTTCTGATATTTACTATTTGGGTTTAATTTTCTTATTTAAATGCATTAGTAGAATTTTCACAATATTTGTCATTCCCTTAATATGACCGAGACTATGCATAGCCTTCCAAGATTACAGATGATTTTGGCTATTACCATGGGATGTATAATATTTATTATTTAAATAAACTATCTTTTTAATTCTGATTAGAATGAAATAAACAAAAATGGATTTGAAACAGCTTTGCGCAGTGGCAGTATCTTAGCCAATGAGGTTTATCTGAGGCGCGATTATTGCTAATTGAAACTGTCAGTAGTTTTTTGATAGCTATTCAGACAATTACTATTTTCTTTTGAGCTTTCCATGTGCTAGTTTACATTTTTAAACACATATTTTACTTAATTGATGTATTCATAACAGTATTTTATTTTTTATAATTTATGTTATAATCTTATATTCTTGGCTTGAACATTGTTTGGTAATGCTATATTTTTCTTTAGGCTGTACTCCATAGGTCTACTTGCTTAGAGAACATACTTTCATACTTCTGAAGCTATAATATGTGATTATAAATATGTAAAATTTTACTGCTGTTAGAGGGTTTTTTAAAATTAATTTTATTGAGAAACAAATAGCTGTGAGTTTCCAAACAGGTTAGTAGGTCAGTTACAATAATTAATACATTGCATATTGTTGTCTTCGTAGTAGTTATTCATAGTACGAGATGCACACATGATATCCTGTCCAAACACTGTTAGTACAGATCTTCTCATTGAATTAAGAGAAAGTAGCTGTATATATATCCATTTTGTATGTACAGATACAAAATAGTCCTTCCTTTGTATCTCGCCCCCCTTTTTTTTTTGGCTCCGAATGCCTTCGGGGTAGGTTTGGCTGGCTTGAGTTGTGGGGATCGAACCACAGCAGCCTGAGCCTGACTGCTTTGTGGAAGCAGCCACTTAAAGAACTGAGCTAAGGGGCAGGCCCCTATCCCCTTTTTGTTTAGTTTTGTTAGAGATGGGTCTTCCATTGCCATTTAAATATTGTAGGTGCGTGAATTCAGCAAAATAATCCAATATAGTCCAGTAGTTCATAATAGTAGTGGGTTATCCGTAGGACTGGCAATGTCAGAAGTTGTTGACTTGAACCTTTTACAGCTCAGCATATTAATATGGCTTTACTTTTCATACCTCATTTTTATACTTTCCTGCTGGATAGTTTAGACCAAGATGAAGCAAGACCTATATAAAAAGAAATGTAACTTTGTATCTGATAAGGTCAGTCAGATTCCCTCAGGATTTACCCTGAAACCCTGTACCACAGTTTGTAGATCCTTGTCAGTGTCAGCCATGTGAATGAGTCACGGCCATTGGTTGACCAGTTTGCTCTCTGTGAAAGCATGAGAGAATGTTTTCTCTTAATGTGACTCTTCTTAGGTACACTCTACATCGTTGATCAGTTTCCTCTGTGGCTCCATAATCGCCTTGATCAGAAAATTTTGGACACAACTGAGTTACATGATGTTTCAGTACAGGTTCCTTATGTCCTGAGTCCTCACTGACCTTGAATGGCTAGGGCCAAAATATTGGCTATCCTTGCAACCTTTCTTTTTACTAATTTTAGGTCTGTAAACTTAAGTTGTTAACCCTCCAGAAGAGCAGTTTATTGATATTATTACCCTATAACATAGGCAATTGAGCTTAACCTCACTATCTGAATATCAGACATCTTAGACATAACATGGAACAAGTATTTTCCATCAAGCATTGATATGTTAAACTCTAAATCCCTACAGAATGTGAAAAAAGAAACAAAAAGTGAAAAAAAGTAGTAGTAAACAATTACATATTTTTACACAGAAATTTAGAAATCTAACCATATACAGCGTTGTAGCAGGACAGTCCTATGACATTTTTTTTTTTTGTCTCTTGTTTTCCTTTATTACCCCTTTTTTTCCCAAACACTTAATTGAGAAACAGTATAGCAGTAATTGATATGACATTAGAAGCATTACATATTTAGAAGGCCAGAATGACAGGTGTTGTTAGAGTTTAAGTGTGTCAAAAAGTTAACTAAGATTAGGTTAAAGAATAAAGAGAAATTTATTGATTCTAGTCCCAGAAGATCAGACATAAAGCTTTGGAATTTGGAATCTGAGATAATGATCCTCTGAATCTTCTCCCTTCTCTTTCCTCAGTGCTTCTCTCTGAGCTTCATTTCTTTCTCTACACAGACCTTTATGCTTATTACAGGGGAGGACAAACCTCCCATTTTCCTAGTGCCCCCAGGCTAGGTAGAATTATTGTTCTCCTAGTGAAAAGTATAGATATCTTGGAAAAGGACAGTAGGGCAGAACATGAAGGGCTGGTTGTGATGTGCAGAGGAATAATGCAAGAGGAGCAGTAGGATCCAAGCTGTGTGCTTTGCCTGCCTACTCTCTGCTTAGCTGTGACTGTGAGGGAAGCAGAAGACTAAGGTGAACCTACTGAAAAGAAAGAGACTGGAAAGTGTACTGGGTTAATGGAAAAAGATCAACAAAGCAAAAACCAAATGAAAAACAAATCAGATATTATTGCAGTGAGGTTGGTATAATCCCTTTGTTTTCTACAACTTCATAAACCGAAAGTTAGGTGTGAGAATGTCTTACTCTGCTTGGCTGCTATGAAAAAATAACACAAACTGGACAACTTAAATAGGAATTTATTTCTCATGGTTCAAGGTGCTGGCTATGTAGGTTTCCATTTGGAACTCCTCTGGCCTATGGCAGATGCTAACTCTTTCAGTGCCCAAATGGTTTAGTCTGTGTGTGTGTGTGTGTGTGTGTGTGTGTGTGTGTGTGTGAAGCATCTAGGAATACAAGCAAGC